TTTTTGCGGAGCGGGGAAGGAAGATGGGGAAGAGGGAGGGAGGGAGGGAGGAGGGGGGAAATCTGTGCCGGGGCACGGCTGTCTCGAAATAGCACATTTTTTCCGGAGGCTTTTATCCCCCTTGAAGCATTCGCAGCTGGTGGTGATGGTGGCGGTGGGGGCATCGCATTCCCTGCGATCGCAGTTAAGGGCCTGATGCGGTACCGCTTGCAGAGCAGCAGAAGCAGCTGCGGCAGCATTTTTGGGGGGGGGGCTGGGTTAAAGCCACCCCGGGTTTCCCAGCGCTGTGTTGTCACCACCCAGCGGGTACCGTCCCCTTTTGGATGCTGCCGGGGTTATTCCCCATGGAGAATTTTATCCCTGATAAAATTCGACCGTCTGGGTAGGGGTGGGCAGAGTTTTGTGGGGGTTTTTTTGTTTGTTTTTTTGGGTTTTTTTTCCAGGTTACCCTGCCTTTGCCATCTCTCACTTTGTTTGGTTACCAGGATCCGGTCTCGGCTGGCGCAGACAGTCGGCGCATTGTCCTGGACCGGTGGAGTGTGGCGGGATGCTCCTGGCCGCCACCAGCCATCCCCCGCCCCGGGCTGGCCCCTCCGCCCTCATCCTTCTTTAGGGATGAGCCTCCCTGGGGACGGAGGAAGGTGGTGGTGGGGGGAGTCCACTTTTGGGGTCTCCCAGCCACCTTGGGGGAGAGGGTGCTCCTCCAGGATGGGAATAATCGGCAGCTTTCGGATTTGCTCGTTAAGAACCCCTCGTCCCGCTCATCCTCCAGGCTCCTGATGCCTCCGGGGCAACGAAAGGGGTTTCTCAGCACCGCGGGAGGATTATTTATCGCTGCGCGGGAGGGGGCACCTTTCCTCCTTGCTGCCTCCTCTTCTGCGTGCTTGTGCATCCACACGGGTGTGTGCACACTCACACGCACACACACACACCTGCGACCCCCCCCAAGCCTCCCTCGCTGCCCCTGGCACGCTGGGCAGCTCCTAAATCCCAAATTACCCAATATTTAGTGATATTTACTCGCCGTTCAAGCGTTTTGCGCCTGGGGAGGGACCCTGGAGTTGGTTTACGGGCGCTGGGAAAGCAGAGGATGAGGCGAAGGGCTGTGTCCCTCCGCTGTGCCATCTGCTGAGTCAGCACATTTGGGGGGAGCAGGCAAGGAGGAAAAAAACCCCTTGCAGGGTTAGTATTTCTTTCCGAACGGGTCCCGCGGGCTGTCGGTGAAGGGTGGGGGG